TTTTCTTTTTTATAATTTTGTCCACTGTTGTCATGTCACAACACTAACTAGGGACCAAGTTGATCTCTAGTTAGTGTCATGACATGGCAATGGTTATGTCTCCCTTTTGAAAATGTAAACCAAAAACAATAGAAGTTTTAACATGTGTTTTCAAAAGAGAGACATGTAAGGATCAAACCTTTACTTCCACTTTTGGAAAATTTCAATTTGTTTTAAATTTTGTAATCTTCAATCAAATACTTTAAAAATAATCCAACAGATTACTGTGAGAAAGATAATTAAACAATGTTTTAGAAAAGAGAATCTTAAGGAAAAGTTCATATTGAATTGCAATTATTAAATAGAACCATTTTTCTAAGGTACACGATTTTCTTTCAATATTCTCGCAGCTCCATTTTCCAATAGTGACCAAAACCTCATGATCTTGGGCAATTTTTGCTGAAAGAACAACTGGGCTTCAGTGTGCTATGTTACTTCTGGCATCTTTCAGAAATCTATATCTGTGAAACCATGGCTCATAGACCAGTTGTTCTTTGGTAAAAGTTGTTCATAAACATGAGATCTTGGTCACAATCAGAAAATGGGGGCTGGGTGATCATACTGAAATAATGAAATATTACCAAATGAAATTAAATGATGGGATACTACCAAATTTTTGTATATAAACAAATACACAATTTGTGTATTAATGATTATTATTTTATGTGCAGATTCAAAGTACTCTTTAACATTAAGATAAGAAGGAAGTTTCTCTGAAGTGAAGCCACAAAACAGCTCCAAAGTCCAGGAATTAGCAAAAGTACTTGGATAAAGTGTTTTCAGCACAGATGGACTGATTTTATTCTGCAAATTATGAGACAAAGATGTCAGCTCAAAAATGATTTCACATACAGCAACACTGCAATACCATGAATCAAACAGCTTGTGAAAAAAAGAATCACTGCCTCGAGTTGCAGCAAAGCTTAGTTGTCAGTGACAGTGGTATAATATCTAATTTAAGAAAAATTTCAACTTCAACCAGGAATTATGCAATATGATGGTTTCTGATGACATACATGCTGCAAAATGAACAGCAAAGGTGTTTCTTGAGATGTACTCCTGCACTCGATATCTGAAGAATCAACTCTAAGGAAACATTATGTCTCCAACTATTGTGAGGAAATGAGTAAAAGAATTAGAGATGCAGTTGGTGGCAATAAGGTATGGGTTACACTGGACAAAACAACCAATCAGGAAAACATTACATTGTTAATGTTACTGTTGGCATATTACAAGATGATGAACCTGGTGAAAAGCTCCAGATTTCTTGTCACTTTCTCAAAAAAAAAAAAAAAAAAAAAAAAA